GTCATACCTCCGATGACAACGCCACAGAATATCCCTCACCAGCGAGAATGGGACATAGGAAACAGGAGTATTTGTCTGCCAGCAACAGGATCGTAAGTGTGACATGGACCTAGGGCGCTGTGTTTACTGCTCAATTTGCAATATAGCTGTAACACACTTTCATGGTAAACACTTCATAAATTGTGATCAAAGTTATATGTAATAAAAAATTATAATAAAATCTTTTGTTGATAAATATTTGACTTAGTGTAAGCTTAGTATGTTTTATCTCCAATTCAGATGAGGCGTTGGACACACTAAAAATAACCGATGTTGTATTGGCAGTCACATTCATGTGGCAGCCTTTGCTGCGGTCCAGCTTCTTCTGTTCACACTTTTATATTCTGTTTCTGGAAAAGTCTCACAGGCAGCTGAAACTTTTATTTGCCCAGAGAAAAATAAACCATTCCGCTTAATTTAACACTCACCGAATTCCTGCATTATGAGCAAGACTGCAGAATGACAACAGAATGAGTTGAATTATCGGAGAGTTACGGCCAAGATACAAACTAATGGTAAAATTAGATAATATCAGTTTACATGCTTTTGGAATATAAATATTTTTTTAAAAAGGAAAGTATAATGGTTTTGCATCAATTTGACTAAGAACCCATTTCCAAGATTTTTTTAGAATGTCCAATTGAACATTTAAATCAGCTAAATACATTCCAGGCGCATCAGAAGAAAAGATGTGTACAGTTAAAGTATTATTAAACTCTCAAACCTTTTTTTTTTCAAAACATGTATCCAGATCAAACAAATATAAATTGCCCAGCATGGTATTTCTACATTTTTGCCCAAGCACGTACAGTCATCACGGTTCTGAATAGCTCCAACTCTCTCAGCTCAGCTTCTCTGAACTTCCTGTTGATTACTAGATTACATAGAAGGGTCAACACAGTCTTAAGCAGCTGTTCATCTACTAGCTTTTCGAGGGGAGTAGAGAGGGGATAGGAACAGGGAGCAGGAGAGTGGCTTGCCTTGTGCCTGTATTTTTATGAAGACACACACAGCTTACTAGCACACACAAGTGTGGCTCATTGGATCCTGCAAGGGAAAGGTGACACCCTAAAACAGGATATCAGGGCCAGTGCTCAGGAGACCAGCTGATTCTACAGGAAAATAAAACTTTTAAACACCAAGGAGCAGCATCCATTGTAAGTGATTTCATCAGCATTTGAAATAGCTTAAAACCCTTTAGATGTAATATCACTTCTATTGGCAGCCATAGCATGAGTAAAAAAGCTTGTCCCCGGCCAGCTGCAAAGAAGAACCCTTCCTCTGTGTGAGGAAGCAGTGGTCTCTCTGGAAAGGTCCAACACGCCCCTTACTGAGTCAGGACATGAGATCTCCAGAGCTATATGTCTGACTCTGCAGGGTTCTGCTTTAATAATTTTTTAACAGTAATCTTATGTTGACTCAATGGATTTGGTCATTTAAAGTGACGCTAAACTCAGGAGTTAAATCCAAAAAATGCATTCAGGTACCTTCACTATTAACAAAAATGTATCTTATTTGTATATCACTCGGCTGTAGATTCTCAAACCATCTCTGAATTAATTTATGCCCACACTGTCCTTCCTTTTGGAGGCGGGCTACTTGTGCTCCCCATGGTCCCTGTGTGTGTTGAAAAGTTGTAAAGCCCAAAGCTTAGACCCTAGAGGTGTAAATATCGGGTTTGACCTTAACTCTTTCATCAGTAACACATAGTCATGAGATATGCATGTTATTATCCATCAATCTCATATTAGCTACTTTGGGGATATCCTGTTCTTACCTGTATTTTAGATATTAAATTGTGATATATTCAGATTTATAAATAGTCTGTTCTGGTACCTCTGGTATACATGTATTAAGGATGGCTTTTTGGACACTTGGTTATGATATAAGTTCTTCATAGTTTTGAATTCATATTATATGCATTTAGAAGTGTTTACTAAGGAATTTTGGCACTTTGTTTTTTATCCTAAAATTGTTAGTTCTCACCACATGACCTTCCATTTAATTCTATAAGGAGTGGGAAAGGTTTCACTGCAGCAACATAAAAAAGGACTGACATATCCCTCAATTGTTTTCATCAGTGATGAAGAGTCAAAAGAGACTTATGTTATATTTCTTTGATCTCCTATCAGCTAGATTGGGGATACCCTGTTTCTAATACTTTATTATTATGTCATATTGTTGTTTTTATTTCAGATAGTAATTTGTGATACACTCATACTTAAATAATTGGTTCTGATATCTCTTGTGTACATTTATCTAGGATGGCCTTTTAGACACTTGGCTATGAGTTAAGATCTCCATACATCATAATTAGTGATATATGGGGGGGTGATTTACTAACCTAAACACACGCACGCACCAGGTGCGTGTGATTTTCACACAGCAAAACGTATTTATCAACCAACAAGTCTCTAAAAGCATATTTCCACTAATGCCATATATGGAAAAATCATGCACATGATGCATATATAATGCTGCTTCACAGTTTAGACAAAAATGGTTAGCTCATGCATTTACATTCCTGCATTCATCAACGCAAGCAACACAACATAGAGCTAATTTACACAACATCACCTTGCAATTCATGCTTGGCTTTGCACAACACACCTGCTGGGTGTGTACACACTACAAAGGTGTTTAGATTCCACCCATAGATCATGCTGGGAGGGAACACACTACAGAGGTGTATACATGTTCATGGTGTGTTTATAAGGTTAGTAAATCAACCCCATAAACTTTAGAAGTGCTTACTAAGGAATTTCAGTACTTTGTTTCATACCTTAAGATTTCTACTTCTCACCACATGACCTTCCATTTAGTTCTATAAGGAGTGGGAAAGGTTTCACTGTTGCAATCAAACTGAGTTCACCTGGATTGTTTAGACCTTAATTGTAGTGTATATATAAAGTTATGTCAAATTTCTGACTCTACACCCCTGATGAAGTCACGCGGAGACGCAACGTACATCGGGTGGAGTCTGTAGTGTACTGATTGTGTTCTGATGTAAGAAGGACTGTGTGAACCTTCTATTTGAGACTGCCGTCGTTCATGCACTTTTTACTTGATTTTATGTAAGTAGATTTTTAATGAATGTGCTTTTTTTTACATTATTGATGGGCACTATGGAGCCTTCTTTCTATTTTTAATATGCACCTGAAACTCTGAGAATATATATAAGACTCTAAAAACTTTGCCATAATCATCTGTGCAGACACGATATAGTGGGTCGATTACCAAGAAGCAGGGCCAGATTAAGAGCATCATGGGCCTGGTGCTGTCGGTTGGTAGGATGGGAAGCAGCAGAGGTGGCTCTCTAAATAGGCAACTGCTCACTCCTGGGGCCTCCTTGTTGATAAAAGAGCCTCTCTTGCCTCTGCTTGATTGTGTTCAGCCTGGCCGGCCCAGATTGCCATTGGGCATATCAAGGTGATCTGGGCTGGCTGGGCCTATTTTCAGTGATGTGCCTGGAGCTAGCGCCCCAGTAGCCCCTATGTTAATCTGGCCCTGCCAAGGAGGAAGAGGTGTTCTCTGTTATTCCAACTTTGCAGCCATCTGGGTCTTTTCCCGCCCGACTTTATACATCAAGTGAAAGGGGATTTGCGTTATCTGACCTTTTTCTAAGGTCTGTATATAAGGTGAGCAGCACTCCTGTGGGTGATTGGTGATTGGGAACTGCTGGACTTAACAGGAACTTCTCACATTGAAGCTGTACATGCACCGCTGAGCTACTCATTTTGGGACACTTAATCATCACATGTTTTGTTGCACGTATTTATGAACTGTACTTTATTGAATAAGATATTTAGCATTGATGTGGATATAAGTGAATTGTAATTTGATCACATTTTCCTGTATGTGACACATATGAACTAGAATTTATTTTTTGACACATGGTATAAATTGTTATAGCACTGCACATTAATATATTTTTGGGTAAAAATTAATGTTTCCTAATATAATAAAGAAAACAAAGTTTTTTTAAAATTTTTGGCACTTTTTCCGTTATATAGTAAAAAATAAAACCCCCAGTGGTGATTAAATACCACCACAAGAAAGCTCTATCTGTCCCCAAAAAATGATATAAAATTAATTTCAGTACAGCGTTGCATGATGGGATAAATATTAGTGAAAGTACCGCAGCGCTGAATACTGAAAAATGGCCTGGCCAGGAAGGGCGTGTAAACACCCCGGTCAGCAAGTGGTTAAACTGTTGCTGCCGGCATTTCGCCTATGCATGATAGTATAGAAATAGGCTTTAACACCGTGCTGTCATATATATGCAGTTCCCAATCACTGTTTATGAACGGCAGAAGGTATGACAGGACCCTGATCACGTGACCACTGTGACAGCCAATAAGAATGATCACATGATCGGGAGCCCGCCTACTGGCCTCCCGTGTACAGAACCCCTTAAAAGGCCATCTGAAGCTGGTGGAAAGGGATTAGCAACGAAAACGTGTTATACTACACTAAACCTTTCAATAAACTTCTACATTATTGCATTTGTTATTTAGAACAGCCAACATAAAGGAGAAATGGCAGTATAAAAAAGTGTGTGGGTTTGACTAATCAGTTTTTAGTTGATTGTTTTACTTCTTCATGGTTCATGTAACTTAGAGCACAGCAAACGTACTCAAAGAGACTGCTTGGTGGCCAAAAGGTTGTGGTTTTAAGATGGATAGTTTTTAAAAAATTAAAACTCTGCACTGCCAGATTGCTCTTTAATAAATAATAACTGAACTGAATAACTTTTGGAGATAGAAGCTTTCTGAGGATGAACTTGTGTAAAGGAAGGTTTGATATGCCCAGTATATGATATTAGATTGGAGTGCCGGTCATTCTGTTTTAAACTGAAGTTGTATCCTTTGCATAAATACTTTGTGCTGAATGGTGTGTCTCTCTTTCTCATGCATTTTGGAAACCACGATTCTAATGGGATTTTTGTTTTGTCACTCCAGCTTCTGCGCAGATCACAGTGGACACGTGCTGCACGAGCGGATATGAATGGGCATCACAGAAGCAAGAGTGCAAGAACCTTCCTGTCATCTCTGAGTCCAAACAATGCAGGTAAATGGGAAATGGGATATAATATGCAGTATGTTGGACCATTTAGCTGCTTCTCTGTGTCTGTAGGAAAGTATATACTCTTATTCTAATGGGGTAAAAACAGGGTTAGCAGTATCGTCATGGAGACTGGGGGCTCTTCCTACGACTTTCTACTGCTAATCTCTCTTTCCTTTCCTACCCATCTAGTCATGGGAATTTGTAAATAAATAGTCAGTTCAAAAATTTAAACCAGACAGATAGGCTTTTTTCGCCAACTTTGGTGGTCAGTGTAAATAGAATGGTTGCCATCTGGTCTTTCAAAACATGGCAAGCAACTGTTCTCTGATCCAGAAATAAAATGAAGCTCTGGCATACATCGGGTCGCTTCACCTTTTGTACATGACAAAACCTTGCCAAATCAGCCATGGCCAGCCATAACAGTTATGTACAATATAGTTATGCCAAAGCAATATTATTGTAAAGTCAAGTGCTAATTAACATAAGCTTTACCGAACAAGGCTCAAATACTTAAATCCATAACCATATTGAATAATACCCAGACAGCCTCAGATTTGTATGCACCCCCACCCTCTTTCTGGTTCAACTTTAACTGCACACATGCTGAATTTCTCCAGCCACATGTTTGATGACTATTAACATCCTGATCTTCACCTTTTTCTCTCTTTATGTCATAGTCAGGTTCTCTTGGAGCAAAAAGGTTAGTGAAAGATCAAGTGAAGTGTCAAATCAGCCAGGTGTGAACAAAGCGAAAGCGTAGTCAGGGGTCAAGCCATGGGGTTCACAACTGTGTACCAAAGGCAACACATACAGTTGTGAATTCAACCAGCTGTGTCTCTCATGGTTGTCCACAGTGTTGTCTTTATTCTGGGGAGCGTTTTTCTGTAAAACAGATATCGGAATCGGGGTTCTGGATAAAGGGCAAGGCAGATTGAGTTCAACATAGATCAGACAGGCAAGGTCAGCAACAAGAATTGTCTAAAAGCAAGAGAAAAGAAAAGAATCACATCCATAAGCCAAACGCATACTACAGTGGTCAACCAGACCCTCAGTTGTGGTGCATTTTAAAGGAGTTGTTGGCCAGAATTTGGCTTAAATAATGCATACCTGAAATTACATGGACAGAGTAGCAGCAGGCAAGTGAGGAGACTTAGAAAAGAATGGCGTAGCAGCAAAGAAGGCCACAGGACAGAAGCATGGCGACCAATAGACCAACAACCCTGCTGACCACTTGACAGATGACTGCTCCCCAGCTGAATGACCACACTATGGATAAACATCGGATACCTAACTGGATTAATCTGCTGCTAAATTCATTACCAGTAGCCACTGTCTGTTTTTATCATTGTGAATTTGCAGCCAGCAAGAGCATATACAAGGCAATCACTGGTTACACATCCATTTGAGAATTTATTTTTAAAAGGCAGTCTTTGCAAAAAAAAGCTCTAAATCTGTCATCAGGCTGTAAGAAAAACACTTTAAATCTTGTAACCTGAGATTTCTCTATAATCATCACCTCCTGCAGATTAGGTATCTGAAGTGCACTTTGTGGCTGATGAAAGGTTTATCTAGCTAGGCAAAGAATTTCTTGTGCTGAAAAGATATGATGGTGGTCCAGCTACAAATTAAACTATGTTGCTGCCTGGGCAGGTTTAAAAGTGTCTAATTTATCAGACAGAGATGGAGAAGATATCTTTTTCAGAAATCACTGATCCTAACGGTTACTTTAGCCTGTACTTCAGGCTGACATTATTGTCGTTGTCGGGCAGCAGCTGAAAGCACCCATGGTGTCCTGGGTAACTATTATTATATAGGATTTTTATAGCACCAACAGTTTGCGCAGCGCTTTACAATGTAAGGAAGACATTACAATCACAATACAATTCAAGACAATATGGTAAGGAGGACCCTGCCCCTGAGGGCTTACAACCTAAAAGGGAGGGGCAAGGGATACATGAGGAGGTAGCTGTGTGGGGATGAATTGCTTGAGAACGTGATGGTTGAGCGGATAGGTTGAGGTGGGATAGGCTTCCCTAAAGAGATGAGTCTTCAGGGATCGCCTAAAGGCAGTCAGAGTGGGAGATAGAAGGACAGGTTGGAGTAAAGAGTTCCAGAGGATGGGAGATACTCTAGAGAAGTCCTGGAGGCGAGCATGGGAGGAGTTGGCGTGGGAGCTGGAAAGCAGGAGGTCTTTTGAAGAGCGCAGGGGATGGTTAGGGTGATACTTTGAGACAAGGTTTGACATATATCCGGGGGCAGAGTTGTGGATGGCTATGTAAGTGGTTGTTAATATTTAGAATTTTATCCTTTGGGCTATTGGAAGCCAGTGCAGGGATTGGCAGAGGGGGTTGCAGACACTGAGCGGTTGCATTCATGATAGACTGAAGGGGGGATAGCCTGTGTAGAGGTAAGCCAATGAGGAGGGAGTTACAATAGTCAAGACGAGAGATAACAAGGGGGGTTGGAAATATCATGAGCTCAGTTTTTGAAAGCTTGAGTTTTAAGTAGTGTTGTGACATCCAGACTGATATGCCAGTTAGTAGATTAGTGACACGCTAGGACACTGAGGGGGTGAGTTTTGGAGTAGAAAGATATATTTGAGTGTCATCGGCATAGGGATGGAATTGGAAGCCATGTGAGGTTGTTAACTGACCAAGGGAGGAAGTGTAGATAGAAATGGAAAGGGTCCAAGGACAGGGCCTTATGGGACCCCTACAGAAAGAGGAAGAGGAGTTAGATTTTTAGGTGACACTAAAGGAGCGCTTAGATAGGTAGGAGGAAAACCATGAGAGAGCAGAGTCTTGTAGGCCAAGCGAGTGGAGTTTTTTGAGGAGGAGCGAGTGGTCAACAGTGTTCAAAGCAGCAGAAAGGTCTAATAGCAAGAGTACGGAGTAGTGGCCATTGTTTTTAGATGTTAGTAAGCCATTAGTGAGTTTTAGGAGGGCGGTTTCAGTGGAGTGTAGGGGGTGAAAGCCGCACTGTAAGCGGTCAAGAAGGTTGTTGTTAGCGAGGTGGCGGCTCAAGCGGCTGTAGATAAGGCATTCTAGGAGATGGGAGTAAGGAGATTGGTCTGAGATTGTTGAGTTTGGAGGGGTACAATGAGGGTTTTTTGGGTATTGGGGTGACCAGCGCATGTTTTAATGTTTTAGAGGGGAGGGAAAGATGCCAGTAGAGAGGGAAAGATTGAAAATGTGAGTAAGAGAGTATATGATAGAGCAAGAGGGTGACCGAAGTAGTAATAAATGAGAATACACAGTCACTAAAGATATCCGATTATATTTACATTCAGGCCTCAAGTCGAGTAACAAATGGAACCCAGAATCTCGGTTTAATTTTCATCAGCTTATGATAAAAGGTTTATATTAGCTCCCAGCCATCTGCGACCCTGAGATCTAATAGCCGACCCTCGTAAATCTTGCAGACATGTTGTTACAATCTTAACATTAAAGTCCCGGATTTTAATGGAATCCTATCAGCCAGAGATATCTGGATAAGACATGGGCACTCTGGCACTTTATTAAAAGAATCTTTTACAGCCTTTGGCTAAACAAGACACATTTATAGGCCAAACAGGGAGGAAGCAAAGACTTCCCAGCAGAGCAATGGAGTAAATTTTCCTTTATTTATTGGTGCACCCCTGGGAGCGAATGTCAGACATGAAAGAGGAGAAGAGGAGGAA